GAAATGGTGGAGGAGGAAGAAGAAGCTCTTTTGTTTACCTCTCCAAAGCTTCTCCAAACTTTTTTTTTCATCAGCCCTTTTCCTATTCAAAAAATTATTTCATCACCTTTTTTCCTCTCCAAGACATATCTCCCAATTACCGAAGGAAATCCTGCACTTTTTCAGCTGGCAAGGGCGTTGTTACGACATTAAATCAATGGAAATCCCTAGAAAAATCAGGTTCATAAAACATAATGACACCAACTTTCTGAGCCCCTAGCGCCTGTGCATTAGGTTTAGTGCCTAGGCATCAGGTCCCTGACAACTACTGTCTACCCTCTGAGAGTTCTGAAGCTATTCAAGTGCCTACATTCTAGGGGACTGGCATTGGGGCGTTGGGTCTAGGGCTTAGGCGTCAAGGCCTGGTGCTGCATTTCTACCGTTTCAGTTTTGAGACCACTTTGGGTTATTTTAGGCACCTATGTGCTTGAGATTGGTGTTGTGGCACTGGGGCTGGCGTCTAGGCACCATGGCCTAGTGCTGGATCGCTAGGCCTAACGTTAGGGTGCTAGTGCCTAGCATTGAGGCGTCGGTCTGGCCCGATGAGTCCGAATTTTCATTAGAATCATCCAAAGAAAGATTTTTTTATCTGTAAATTATCATAGAGTGTGTATAACTAAATTATAGTCCCCTTTTTATGTGTCTTATTCCAAAGACTTTAATGTCAATGGGTGTGCCAGAACCCTCGGGCAAGTAGCTCGGTCTGAACCCCAATTTTAATGAAATGTGTGTGGGAGAGTTGTATGACTTCTCTTAATCATGGGAGACTCTGAATGGATGGGGAATAATCTTTAAATATCACAATGATCAATATACATGTCTTGTATTAGAACTCACGCCACCCAACAACAAGCTTACCCGGGCAAAATTAAATTAACGACGACCCGAGTTTCGTGCCAAAAGTAAGCAACGAGGAGTCCTAATGGATGTTTGGAAATACGAGAATCAACCTGCATAGAGAAAGGTTCCATAATGTCCCAGTTTACATGCAACACTCATGAGATCAAAAATTAATACCAACAATATAGAAAGAAGAACTTCATGGTGGGTGTAAGATTTTTATTAATCATGGAAATCCAAACATATAAATGAATGTCACAAAAGCCTTAATAAATCTGCATTTCTTCACTATTCATAGGCTAAGATTTTCTTAAAATAAAGGCAATTTATTTCATTAAAAATTAGAGCTACGTCATAAGAATTACTTGAGGGCAAGTAATGGTGAGTTTTAGGGGATTGGCATGCATCAATTTTTCATATTTTTTATACTTTAATTTTAGCTAATTCTTCATTTTATTTCATGATTTTATGCTTTTGGAAGTTTGGATTTGTGTTTTACAGGCTTTAGGAGGATTAGCACACAATCAGAGCTAAATAAGAGGTTTTAGGAATTTTTAGCATGGCTTAGCCATGCCAGCTTTTGTTGTCACCATGCCAAGTATTTGAAGTGACCAAGCCAGTCAGCGACCGTGGTCATGCCTGCTCTTGCAGTGTTGCCCAAACATCCTTTTTAGTGGTAGCCACGCATGAAACCAGTGTGGTCATGCCTCCTCTATAGAAGATTTGTGAGGCATACCTATGTCGGAAGGTGGCATGATCACGTCACCCAACCTGAGAGAGTGGCTTAATTACACCACTATTCAGGCGTGGTCATGCCGTCACATCCAATTCAAACGAAAGATTTTAACAAGCAAAATTCTGATGATTTTGAAAAGAGTTCAAATAAAGGCTTTAAAAAGAACATTAAGGGAAGAATTTAGGAAGTATTTGGAGAGATTTCAGAGGGGAGGCTACGGTTTACATAGAGTTTTATTCTTCTTTTCTCTTGTTATTTGTTATTTTCTCTTACAGGTGATTTGAGAGATTTGTTTAGTTGCTTTTGTAATAGATGGTTTACATATCAATATGTTTTATTTTTATTTTAATAAAAATGTTGCTTCATGTGTTTTTTCTCTCTCAACTTGAGTAACTAAACTTATTTTTGTGGCTCTGTGATTTGTGGATGGTTTTTCTGACTATTTTTTTCTTTACATGTTTCTCATAATATGTTTTTTGTGTTTTTGATGTTAACGTTGTTGGTTAACCTTTTGGCCTTCGTTTACTCTGAACTTGGCTAATTAGGTTGTTAAAGTCCATTATGAACTATAACTTCGGTAAAAGTGCAATGGAACGATGAGGTTAACCATAGGATCCGATTATGATATGAATATTTTAATACATATCTTGTAACCAAGAAAAGAGGATCTGAGGAATAGTGGGAATGTCATAAATATTAATGAAACTTTTCTTTGTGGAATTTAAAGTCTTCTTTTAACCTAGGCATAAGCTTAAGAGGCAATATCATCCTTGGTTGACAAAAACTACATAGGAGAAATTTTGAAAAAAGTATAATCAGGTATCATACCTAAATCACAGAGGCAAGATCCTTTATTGTCTTGAAGAAACACCAAATTAATTTGACCCTTTTTTTTTCTTTGCTTCTGTTTTCTACAAATTCTGATAATGTTAGGATTCATCTCTGATGTTTTCTGAATCACGCTGAGTTGGGTTAAAATATATAGTAAATTGTAGATTCATCTTTTCGAATCAGTTTCTTGCACACTTCCTTGTGGGAGCGATACGTTGTACTCTTGCAAACCGCTTATTTCATTGACATGTATACGTACGTGAATTGGTGGCTCGCTTCATAATGATTTTACTTCATTCAGTGCCTTCTCAAGCTTCCGGCCTTATTAGTGTGTATTACCAAAAATATTCCCTACTAACCTACTACATCAAGGGTATAGATTGCAATCTAGTTAACCCTATATCTATAAATAGGGGGTTTATTTCATGAATAAACGTTACTCAATTTTACAACTCATTATTGTGCTCTCTCTGCTTTTTCCCTATATTTTACGCTTTATTCATTGGGTGTGTCTTCCGGATAATTTTGGATTCAACATTTTTTATCTCATCTTTTTCGATTGCGAAGAAAAAATGACTTTTGTAATATTTCAACTTGCTCTCACCCTCATTCTTTTTTTAGGTTATTTTAAGTAAAAATTTGGTAGTCATGTAAATTAAACTTATTTTATTTAATTGTGTATTGAGTTTTGTACAAAACTAAAATGTTAAATTTTATTTCTTTGTTATTAATCACAAATATTATGGCACACAAGAAACTGATACTCGTTTTAATTTAGGGAAAAAAAATTTAAAACAAGTGTAAAATGATATATTGATTTACAAGGGAACAAATGAATTTATGCACATCTTCTCTTTCATTATTCTTATTATCTTTTTGTTCAACGCTAACAGGCAAGTTCTTGTTGTGATGTTCACTTGAAAAATGATCTATTTGGAAACATAAAAAATAAGAATTTACGATGGCATGGTAGCTATTCTACTTATAATTCTTTATCATTAATAATTTTACTCAGTTAAGACATGGTTGTTAATTAGGGTGTGATTGCTTTAAGAAAAAAGTTTCTTGTGCATTTATGAAAATTCATGGAGGGGAAATAAATTTAATAATTGTTCAAAATTCAAATTTAATTGAAAAGTCCGCCTCTTTTGCACTTAAATTTTGGAGAGAAATGTCATTTATGAATTATTCTTAATCCAGCCTTGAATCTAATGAGTATTTTTTTTCATATCCTCCCAAGTTTTTGGATGCAATGGAGTTTCTTGTGCATTTATGAAAGTTCATGGAGGGGAAATAAATTTTATAATTGTTCAAAATTCAAATTTAATTGAAAAGTCTGCCTCTTATGCACTTAAATTTTGAAGAAAAATGTCATTTATGAATTATTCTTAATCTAGCCTTGAATCTAATGAGTATTTTTTTCATATCCTCCCAAGTTTTTGGATGCAATGATAAATCTTACAACTTGTACATGTCCTCTAGTTAAGAGAGTTAAATTCATTGAGTAATTGAATTTGATAAGATATATATATATATATACATATATACATCTAAGTATAAGTATTGCTCTTTGGATAGAGTTTTTATTTCAACCCAAACCAATTATGTACAATTTTGCTTGGTTCCAAAGTTTTAGTTCCACATATCTTACATTTTATTTTCTTAATACTATTTGACATCATTCATATTAATCATTAACCAATTAATAAAACTCTAGGATCTATTATCCTATTGTAAGTGGATATTTTTGGCTTTTGTCATATGAGTTTAATGTGTACTATTAGTTTTACAAATGTCTTCTTCATTTAGCCTAGACTTATTATCCAGCTCTTGTAACTACTATGATCATTTATTCATGTATAATTTGATTTATTGATTTAAATTATCATATTTCAAAAAATTATATAATTTATCAAATTTCCTCCACTATTCTCTCATTGTGGCCACAAGTTGGGAAAAAAACTTTACTCCTTTGGGAATGAGAGTTTTAGTTATTTTTTTAGTCATTCCAAAGCCTATATCAATACCAAAAAATAAAAAAGAGAAGTAAAAAGTGGGGGAAAAAAAAGGAAAAAGGAGTAAAATAGAGAGATAAAAGAAAGATGGGGGAAAAAGTGGGAAAAAAACAAAAAACGAGAAGAATTCCTTAAACCCCAATCACTGGGCAGCATAACTAGAAACACTATATAAATTACATTGATATTGTTTAAAAATGTATTGCGTCTAACAAAACATGTAAAACCAAGTTGATCAATTATTAGTTTACTTCCCCAACATCAAAAATAAAAGATAAACAATAGGAGAAATAACTATGTGTAGAAAGTTGTACATACGAATAGCCACTCTCAGGAGGTGTTATTACGTCTGGATGATGCATGAATAGAGAGCGGCTCCGATTAACCTTCTTTTTTTTTTTTTGGTTAATCAGAGCTACTCTCGACTCATACATATGTCCCTAGATATTATATTTCTCCCACTCCGAGGGAGAGCACATCACAATTTAGATGAAGTTGTTGTGATGTACTCTCCCAACTGATCTCATACATATGTCCCTAGATAGATGAAGTTGTTGTGATGTACTCTCCCAACTGATTGGCCGTTCGTGCGTGCGATCACGTAACACACAATAATTTCTCAAAAACTAGCCGGCCACCCTTTTTTAACTCAAGAAAACTGTCCCATTTTATCAGCTCAAATCCTTCAGAGAGATGGAACAACTTCCATTCTCTCAACGACAACAACTACAACGTGAATCAGTAACATATCATCATTCTTACATGATTCATCTCAAATCACTCCATACTGCAAAATAAAAATCCAATCTTTAATACACAACTGTAAACCACAATAGCAGTGATTGAAAAAGCCAAGAACTTGCCTTCCAATCCTTCAAAATTTCTCTTCCTCTTTCATCTAAATCTCTCAACAACCTCCTCTCAGGCAAAAACAAGTACATTACAACAGTTATTATAATTCAGCCATGCTCATGGCCTCATAACACAGTCTAATCGTGTAATTAACACATAAATATCATAAATATCAGATTAAACAGAGTAATTAGATGGACTGTGGAATTCTGAAGAGATGCTCCTCACCACTAACCTCGTCCACCTTCATCACCCATGAACTCTTTCTGCTTCCCCTCCTCCTCGAACCTCCCCTCCCCTTCCTCTCATGCCTCCAACCCCTCGCATCCTTCGCAGCAAATTCAGCGCTTTTCCCAATCATCGTCACCTCCATGCCCTTCCCAATAGGATGCTTCGCAGACCTCACATCACTCTTGTTCTGCACACTCTGCAGCTCCCCTCCCAGCCCTGATTTATCCCCCACCAAGTTATTGGCCACCACAACAGACTTGGTGGGATTCATGTCCAGCAGCTTGAGCAGGCCTGTGTAGGATTCGGACTTGCAATCCACTACGGAGAAGTCCACATTCTCGCACTCTGGCAACAGTTTGTAGGGATCGCCTACCTTGAATTCTACTATGTCTGTGAGGCCGGAATCCTCAATGACTTGTTTTGATTCAACCAGAGACTCCGGCTGAGGGAGGATGCAGACGAGTCGGCCGCCGGTTTGCCGGGCGGCGACGGCGAGCGCCACCGTGGATTGAGATGCTTGTGGAGATACTTCGACGATGTGTTGGGCGCTCATGCCGGCGGCCAGAGCTGATAGGAACTGAGTGCTTTCTGGTTCAATTGGACTGCTTGGCTCTTTCACTTCTTTGCACTGGAGAGCCCAAGGAAGGAGATGAGAATGTAGGAGACTCCTATTAGGCATGAAGTTCGGATGCATGCCTATTCTTTGTACAATCATGACATGATTGTACAAAGAATCTGCATGCATGCAAACTCCACACATAACATTATCTTCATAATATGGTTTTCAAAAGTATTGTGATGAATCAATAAGATGTTAATTGTCCATTTCTATTGAATTTGTTATACAATGTTGTAAAACAATGTATATTAGATTAAAATTTTTTTAAGTATTGCTTAATTAAATCATCAATCATAATCAAATATAAAAATTTTATTTGAAGTTGTATTATATATTTTATTTTTCTTAATATTACTTCATTTATGTAATAAAATTGTTCGTTTTTAAAAAACAGAATAATTTACCTTGTGAAACAAGCTAGCAAATTTCATCATTTTTGAAACATGATTTTTAAATTCAATAAATCAAAAATATCCTAAGATGCATACTTTCTAAATTATAATGTAATTTGAAAAATGTTGTCAACCATACAAATGATTTTAAAGTCTTAAACAAATTAAAAGCTATTTAAGATACATAATGACCACTTATTAATATACCATAAATACTCATTGCACAATAAACCAAATGCGTATATATATAATTAAACATTCTGCTGAGTTCATTACTTCTGAAAAAAAGGTCTAAAATCCAGAATGCCGCATTAATCAAAACCAAATGAACGAGCTCTATAAAATTAAATCACATTCGGAAATAAAAAGATTAACCAAATCTACCCCCCATTCATTACTAGTAGGGTTGTTAACGATCCAATTCCGGGCCGATGGAGGCGGTAGCTCGACTCATTTATTACGATCCAAGTCAAAATTCAAATCAGTTCATGAGAAATTAACGATCTTCAACTCAAATTCATTAAATTCAAAGTACTAACACCCCTAGAGTTATTAACGATTCAACTTGTGTAAGACTCGAAATCAGCTTGAAAAAGATTCGATCCAAAATTTTGACCCGTAACTTGGCTCATTTATTTTGATCCTATCTCAATTCAAGACAAAAAACAAATTAATTTTCAAGCAACTAACGATCTTCTAGCTAAATTTGCAGCCACATGTAGAAGCAAAACATAGGAAAATTACATGCATCACACTCAATTCTTACGGATTTACCTATCACACACCTAAACTTTCATTTTTAAGCATATAGCACTTTACCTACGGATGAAAAGACGAATTTCACTATTAAACGATTCTATTTTTTATATGATGTTTATAACTATAAAAATTAAAATGTGAAATACATAAATATGAAAATTTTGGATGCTATTATGCAAAAGCCTCGCAAAGCATACCTCACCAATCAACAAAACCACAAAATTTTCAAAAAAAAGGGAAAAGGAGGATAACCGTACCAGCTTTACGGTATCGAGGTAGGCAATAGCGGCAGATTGAGGAGACCAAACCATGATGATCGCCGGCAGTATCAAAACTTCCTTAATTTGCAGAGCTCTTAAAATGAAGAAGAAAGAAATGAGAAAATAAAAAAATTAGGGTTTTTTGCTCTGATTTTGATTCGTTTCCTGGCAATAACTCAACAAAGGAAAGGAAGACAACGAACAATCAGTAGTAACGGTATAGCGTAAGAGAAGGCGGGGAAGAAAACGGATTCACAAGTGAAAAATATTTTGGGGGAGCGGTGGCGCGAGCTTGTAGGGACCAAGACGAGAAAGGAAAGGCATTTGGTGGTTGGGGAGCGGCTTTCACGTTTTCTTGTTTGCCAAGCATGTCGTTGTACGGAGGATGCAATTTAAGATTAAAATAATTCATATATATATATTATTTTTAAATAAAATATTATGATATCTTTGATAAAGATTTAATTATTTTTTTAATATCCAACCCTTAAAATATAATTCATTAAAAAAATAATGATCATTTTTATGTGGTAGTTGCATGATTTTTTATTAAACATATGGCTATAGCTTCGTCGTTCCTGAATAGTAAGTTATAATATTAGATGATAAATTGCATATTAATATATAATTATTTGAGTCATTTCAAGTTGTTTCTCAATCTTTGATTTGAACTTTGTGTGCCGGTGGTTTTTTAACTTGTTTTTTTGGTCAGTCATCACATTGTTTAGTTGTGAAGATTTTATGAGAGATTTGTATGTGTAAGTTTTGCATGCATGAAAATTTGTTGATGATGTTAGAATTGTGTGATCTTGGGCTTGTTGGATTTTTTTTTTTGAAATACTCGATTTGATTATGAATTTGTAGATTTAAAATACATTTGACCTTTCATTTAGCCACCTTAATCTTCAAAAAGGGATTTAACTGTTTGGCTCGGATTTGGTCAATTTTGATGTCATTGGGTTGGTATTGTCGAGCCTACCAAGTTCAGGAGAATTTTTAATTCAGATTTAAAACTTTCTTGCTCAAAAAAGGCCTTAGGATTCGCGACATACCTCGAGATCCATACTAAATGATGAAACTTTATTGATGGCAAATCATTACAAATATAAAAAATTATTAAAATAAGGATTTTATAAGTATATTAAAGGGAAGAAAAAAAAGTTTAAATCAAAATAAAAAAAATTTATTGAATAAAGACTATTCTCTAGCAAAAAGAAAGCAAAAAAGAATCAGATGAAAAATGTAAAAGAGTCCTTATAAAATCCTTATTTAATATTTTTGAGAATTATATTTTATATTTAAACTTTAACTTCACTTTTGCTTTTTTGAGTGGTCCAAACTTAATAAAATTCTATTATGCAGGTTACATTTATAATAGAAAATCCATTCTATGATTATTTAAGATGATTAAGCTAAGTATTATTCTAATCTTTAAAGAATCAAAATTATTAAGAGTCAATTATCACATGTTGAACACATCGAAGACTTACAATTGAGGGGAATATCAATGCAAATAAAACTTTAAGAGACAATTAATTTCATGAACTATTAACTATTACTTATGGACTCTCTTTCTAAGGAATCTAAAGTTATAATTACTTGATGACAAGTAATATATTAAGTTCAAGGGAATTTGTTAAATGTATAAAAATATTTTCAAGTAAGTGTATTTTTGGTATATTTTTGTTCGATTTCATGCTTTTCTTTGGTATTTGTGGATGTGTTTTGTCAGGATTGGAGAGCATGACATAAGTGACTTGAAGAAAAGTATAAATCATAGGTGGTGCCTAGATGCCATACTTAGGGTACCCCCTGTGCTTGAGCTACAACACCTCAGCACTATGGATGTAGTGCCTAAGCCACGTATGTTGATAAAGCCTAGAAGCTCATGAGTTTAGTGCCTCGATGTCATCATTTAGTGTCCTAGCATTATCGTTGTAGCACCCCAACGCCATCATCATAGCGTTTTGTGCCCCCCATCGTTAGAAATTAGCACCCCATCACCCATTGATCGTTGTAGCACCCCAACGCCATCATTATAGCGTTTTGTGCCAAACCCTGTAAAGCATTGAGTTAAAAAAAATAGAAATATTGGTTCCCCATCGTTAGAAATTAGCACCCCATCACCCATTGTAGCACTGTGGAGTTACATCGTGGTGTCATGGTGCTACATCACGGTGTTGTAAAGCTACCACCCGACCAAAGGCGGTTTGCCTCTTATTTTGATGATTTAGGCTAGATTTGAGAGGAAGTTATATAAGCAGGAGTGTTGAGGATAGCTAGAGGACAATTCGGCAAAGCGTGTGACTTATGGTGAGAGCGTGAAGTGTGAGGCTGTGTTAGAAGAGGGAATTTTTTTGGATTTAAGTGAGCAAGAAGTGGATTAAGGAGTAAAACAATGGAGTGAGAAGATAATTTGGGAATCTTATTTCAGTTGTGTTTTTTTTT